GATTTGGCAATTTGATCTCTGGTTTCTCTGCCTTTTCTAAAACCAGCTTAAGCATCTGAAAGTTCATGGTTCATGTATTTTTAAAGCCTGGCTTGGAGAATTTTGAGCTTTTCTTTACTAGCGTGTGAGATGAGTGCAATTGTGCAACAGTATGAGCATTCTTTGGCGTTGCTTTTCTTTGGAATTGGAATGAAAACTGACCTTTTCCTGTTCTGTGACCACTGCTGAGTTTTCCAAATATGCTGGTGTACTGAGTTCAGCACTATCACAGCATCATCTTTTAGGATTTGAAATACCTTAACTGGAATTCCATCACCTCCACTAGCTTTGTTCATAGTGATTCTTCCTAAGGCCAACTTGACTTTGCATTCCAGGATGCCTGGCTCTAAGTGACTGATCACACCATCATGATTATCTAGATCGTGAAGATCTTTTTTGTACATTTCTTCTGTGTATTCTTGCCACCTCTTCTTAATATCTTCTGCTTCTGCCAATTCTGTCCTTCATTGAGCCCATCTTTGCATGAAATATTCCCTTTGTATCTCTAATTTTCTTGAAGAGATCTCCAGTCTTTCCCATTCTTTTGTTTTCCTCTATTTCTTTACATTGATCACTGAGGAAGGCTTTCTTATCTCTCCTTGCTATTCTTTGGAACTCTTCATTCAAATGGGTATATCTTTCCTTTTTTCCTTTGCTTTTCACTTCTCTTCTTTTCACAACTATTTGTAAGGCCTCCTCAGACAGCCATTTTGCTTTTTTGCATTTCTTTTCCTTGGGTGTGGTCTTGATCCCTGTCTCCGGTATAATGTCACAAACCTCTATCTATAATTCATCAGGCACTCTGTCTATCAGATCTAGTCCCTTAAATCTATTTCTTGCTTCCACTGTTTAATCATAAGGGATTTGATTTAGGTCATACCTGAATGGTCTACTGCTTTCCCCTACTTTCTTCAATTTCAGTCTGAATTTGGCAATAAGGAGTTCATGATCTGAGCCACAGTCAGATCCCAGTCTTGTTTTTCCTGACTGTATAGAGCTTTTCCATCTTTGGCTGCAAGGAATGTAATCAATCTGTTTTCGGTGTTGGCCATCTGGTGATGTCCATGTGTAGAATCTTCTCATATGGGCTTCTCTCATAGCTTAGTTGGTAAAGAATCCACCTTCAATGCAGGAGACCCTGGTTCAATTTCTGGGTTGGGAAGATCCCTGGAGAGTGGAAAGGCTACCCACTCCAGTATTCTGGCCTGGAGAATTCTATGGACTATATAGTCCATGGGGTCCCAAAGAGTCGGAGATGACTGAGTGACCTTCACTTTCACTCTAATATTTAAGGGCTGTATATTTTAAGGATCTATCTGCTCTTGCCCTAATATATATATCTCTTCTGATATGAAGAAGAGGAATCAACCATTTGGAATGAGGACAAAAGTATTATCACTTATCATTTAGGTCTTGTGACTTTGCAGATAATTTCTTTATTGCTATTATAATTTTGATTTTCATGTTTCTCTCCCCAATGTATTTAGGATTCCCTAAAGGAGCAGATAAGGGTTTCTTCCCTGGTGGCTCAGTGGAAAGAATCCACCTGCAATGCAGGTGATGCAGACAACTCAGTTTTGATCCCTGGATTGAGAAGATCCTGTGGAGGAGTGCATGACATCCCACTCTAGTATTCTTGCCTGGAGAACCCCATGGACAGAGGAGCCTGATGGGTTATGGTCCATGGGTTGCAAAATCAGACACGACTGAAGTGACTGAGCATACATTCACACAAAAGGGCAGATGACATGCCTTAATGATTTTTGTAAATCCAGATGCTAACACTGGATCTAACATGTAGTAGGTTTTCAATACACATTTGTTGAAGGAAAGATAGAAGGAATCATGAACCAGTCAAGAGAGTGTTTGTACACATGGATGTTAAAAGATGGAGGTGCAGTATATTGAGAAAAGTATTTCAGGTACAGAATTCATTTTTAATATCACATGTTTATTAAACACTTAAAAATGATAAACATTGTGGGTACACAAAAGTGATGAACCTTTTTTGTAGGCTACTTATTAGGAAAAGGAACATTTGAGAGATTTTCAGGAAAGTTCAGTATTTACTATCACAAAAGTTTGAAAACTGTACACCTTTTTAGTATTGTTGCTGTTCAGTCTCTAAGTCATGTACGACTCTTTGTGATCCCATGGACTGCAGCACCCCAGGCCTTCCCCAGCCTCACTATCTCCTGGAGTTTGCTCAAATTTACATTCATTGAGTCGATGATGCTATCTAATCATTTCATCCCCTGCTGCCTGCTTCTCCTCTTGCCTTCTATCTTTCCCAGCATCAGGGTCTTTCCCATTGAGTCGGCTCTTTCCATCAGTTGACCATAGTATTGGAGGTTCAGCTTCAACATTAGTCCTTCCAATGAATATTTAGGGTTGATTTCCTTTAGGATTGACTGCTTTGACCTCCTTGCACTCCCAGAGAGTCTTCTCAGGCACCACAATTTGAAAGCATCATTTCGTTGGTGCTCAGGCATCTTTATGCTCTGTTAAATGGCAACCCACTCCAGAGTTCTTGCCTGGAAAATGCCATGGATGGAGGAGTCTGGTAGGCTACAGTCCATGGGGTCACAAAGAGTTGGACATGACTGAGCTACTTCACTTTCTTTCTTTTCTTTCTTTAGTATAACAAGAGCATTTTATCTAATACTTGTGAGAATGCAATGAGAAGATAGAAAAGAAATGTATTCTGACAAGATTTAACTAAAGGAGTGCTATATTGAGCAATCGAAGATGTCAGTCTTTGGAACTAGTCATAAGAACTAAGGCAAAGAACATCTGTTTGTTTTTTTTTTTTGCATAGTATTCACCTTCTTTGTGAGTATGAATTGAAAGTAAACAAAACATGATTCTACTAATTTCTTTTTGAGAAGTAAGGATTATCTCTTTCAGAACTTTGAATGACTCCAAATGTTGTCACAAGGTTCAGTACGAATTAAGGGTTTGCATAAGGATGCTTTGAAAAATAATTTCTGTTTATAGGGTCTGTTTGCAATTAGCAGATGACACTAGAATGATTAGATGAAAATGCTAATTTTATGATGCTTGTATCCTGCTGTTTAATGGTTGATTCTGACAATGTTGTAATTAATTTTTTGCATCTATTTTGTTAGAGTTTCCAAAGCCAAGGGCATAATTTATACAATTAAATAAAACCTTGTTGTTTTGAATCGAAAAAGAAAAACACTCGAAATAATTTGTATCAGACCTTGTGAAAAAAGCAAGTTGCTTGTAAAATAACCACTTCACTCTGAATAGTTAGTATCTCAGCTCTAAATTTCAATTAATGGTACCAATCAAAAGGCTCAGGCTTTGATAATTAGTTTGGACCCGTGTCAAATTCTTTTAAGTGAGAAATCAGCTTTCAAAAATAAAACATGCTTTAATTTAGAGGTCAGCTTTGAAATTTTTAAAAGTTTGCTTTTATTCTGAAAAGTTTCAAAGACTCAGAAAAGCTGAATGAAGAGTGAAATCAATACCTATGCATCATAACCAACTTTGACCAAAATCTGCTCTATTTTCCACTTTGTCTGACCAAATGGATGGTGGAAACATAAAGACATTTCATTTCTAACTGCTTCAACGTGAACCATCCAAGACAAGGACATTTTCCTAACAAACCACAATATATTACACTTCAGAAAGTTAGCATTAATTCAAAATCATGTTGCAACATGCAAAATTTCCTCAGTTGTAGCAAAAAATGTCTATTAAGGATCTGTTTTACCCCATTGAGGATTCAGTCAAGTTTGATGGATTATCATTGGTTATGTCCCTTCAATTTCTAACAATCTATAACCATCCTAAAGTTTCCTGTCACTCTTCATATCTGATTCATTAAAGAGCCCAGGACTTTTGTCTTGTAGAACAACCAAATTTTATATTAAATAGTGTATTTATGACTTGATTTAGGTAAAATATTTTTGATAAAGCTGGTGCTTGAGTGATGCCGGGTACTTCTTACTATACCTCTGGTATAGTAAACCTTCACAAATCTTCACTGAAAGCCTGAGGTCTTTACCAGTCTCTTGAACTTCACCTTCTGTCTTCCCAGAACTATAAATCTGCTGAAAACTTCAGCTCATCTCTCTCTTTAGCATTCCAGCTGCTGCTTTCTGGTATTTTGTGTTTGTCTATTTTTCAAGACATGTCCTTCCCATGAACAGCTTTTTCATCCAAACTTTTCTAAATAAAATTTCATGCAAATTTTTGGCTTTACTTTTCAGCAGTTTTCTCCCCTTCATTTTTATCTCTTTGGAAATTCTGGATTTCATATCTCTGCTTCCTTATCTCAGTGAGATCAGGGCTTTCTGTTCATACTGTGTTGTCCTTCACTGACAATTGGCAAATGCCCTCAAGTTTGAAACAAAGGTGAACATAGAACTTGTATCCATGCATTTTCCTTTTCTTGAGGATCACAGACCCCAGAATTCTCTGTTGTCTCCTCTATGAAGCATTCAAATAGGTTTTTCATGTATTTTGCATTGTTTTTAGAGTTGTTTTGGAAGATGGTTTACTTTTACACAATTTATTGTCTAATAACCAAATTTAAAGTCTACTCACTTTTCTTTTAATAATAGTCTAGTTATGCAGACTCAGCTTCTGTTCCTTGTAACTTAAAATGTCATCCAATAAGAAAGAAAATGAAAGGAAAATGACCATTAACTTCTTTATTGAACTTGGACAAACAGAGAAATTTGTGGTTTAAAACGTGTTCTGAGGGACTTCCCTGGTAGTCTGGTGGTTAAGACTCTGCCTTACAATGCAGGGGTACTGGTTCCATCCCTGGCTGGGGAACTAAGATCCCACATGCTGCACAGTATGACCAAAAAAATAAGTGTTCTGATTATTCTTCATTTTCCTCTTCCTCCAAACCTGCCATTTTGTTTCACATTCTATGCTCTTAGAGACTCTATTCTGTCGACTGCATTATCTACGCTTCTGTTTTAACTTCTAGTTGGGACCAGGCACTGGGGGTCTCTGACAGTAGAAAGTGAGTTATTAGGATAGAAAGAGTAAGGATTTTTTTTTTTTTTTTTTACTATGCTTGTGCCAGGACTCATGGTGATTCTGGCAATGCCTGTGTTTCTCTGTGCCTGCTTATAGTTCCTAGAGACCTTACCTCCTTTCACAGCATCAGTCCACTGTTTCCTGAAACCATTCTCTTCCTTTGTTTCTTCAGACCTCAAACTAGATTTCCCACTATTACTTCTCCTGGGTGTTTTACCACTCACAGTTTCCTTAGGCATGCCCTCACAGCTGAAAATAGCTGATTGATTAAATCTTTAGTTGAAGACTGAATTAAGCTATCAGTTTCTGAGAAACTTTCACTGACACATTATATTAGTAGTTATTGAGAAATACTCCCAGGGTGAGGCATGCAGAAGATCAAGTATATAATAGAAGATTTAAAAGAGAATAAGCTGAGAAATTTGATGTTTATTTCATAGGTTTTTATAAGTCAGGTTATGTTAACACATACCTAAGTAAAAATGACAGAAGTACATTAAAAATTACACATCTTGAGTTTTCATTTGCAGAACATGTCCCTGAAAGCAGAATCCAACTATGTCATTACTCTTAATGCATCTGCTTAGAATGTGGCACATGCCACTCCCACTTAAATTTCATTGACCAAAGCAAGTCACATGGGCAAGTCTGATTATAATGTGTAGAGATAAATAACCCTTCATCAATATTTAGTACACTAAAAGCAAGGTATGGCAGAGGAACAAAAGGAGAAAAAGAAGTATTTAAACAGACAACTTAGAATCTTCCAGAATTGAAGGAAATTATAGGTCTCCAAATCAAATGTATATTCTGTGTACTAAGCCAGTTAAACTAACGTAATGCTATGCTCAGCAAGTCAGAGTGAAATTGTAAAATACTAAAGGTGAAATGAAAATTTTATAATATGTTGAAGACAAATGACATTTTCTGCGAAAGTATGACAAGTAGATTAAAAGAGTGTGTGTCATTGACAACTATAAATACCAGAATACTTTACCAAGATATTGTCTAAGTTCCTTAGAACTTAGTATTTTATGATAGCTAAACTATCATCCATGAGACAGAAAAATAAAGGCATTTGTGAATCATAGGCAAGTTTTCTGCTCTTAAGACTGTCACAGAAAGAAGTAGTAAAGGCATTAACTGAACATGAAGAAAATGAATCCAAATCGAAAGAGAGGGTAAACAGAAAAGTATTACCCCCAAATCGTGATGCTATAATATTTATATCAGATAAAAAGATAAAGAAAATACAATTTAATAATTGTATGTACAAATGAATGTACAAACAAGATATAGTACTGTTGAATTTGCTTGCACCTAATAACTTGGCTTTAACATTTATAAAACAAAGCTGAAAAAAATTAAAGAATATAAGTGAACCAGTGCAGTTCAAACCCATGTTGTTCAAGGGTCAACTGTAGGGATTATTTTTTTTACTGTATTTGTTATTCATGCATTTTTCACTGTATATTAGGTTTTAGGGATTAATATATTTCTGTTGTCTAATATGCATTTGTTTTTAATGAAAAATGCATTTATATTTACATAAAAAATTTTTACAAAATACATGTTACAGAGACCTCATTTTTTGAAATAATGCAGTTAAGTGAGACATGCATGAATAACAAATGTATAAAAAAAAAATCCCTATAGTTGACCCTTGAACAACATGGGTTTGAATTGCACTGGTTCACTTACATGCGGATATGTTTTTCAGTAAATATTACATACTGTAATACAGTATTCATTCATACAGTATGATTCATAGTTGGTTGAATTTGCAGAAGCAGAACCACAGGCCAATTGTAAGGTTATATGCACGTATTCACCTGTGTGGGGGTTTGTATCCCTACCCCAGTGCTGTTCAAGGGTCAACTGCATATGTTGTAAAATTTAAAATACCTTGAAAACAAATACCATGCCTTGGACAGAAAAAAAATACCATGCCTTGGAAGGAAAAAAATGACACTGCAAAATAAAACTGAATGGATGGATATATCAAAGACATGGTAGAATTCTGGAACATTTCCTAACATAATTTCAGTTGTATTTTAAATCAAGAAAAACTGAAATTTCATGACTTAAGAATCTAATGCAGGACACTTAAAAGGATGAGAAGGTAGCCTAAAGAAAATAGGAGTGTGAACATGATAAAGATAGCAGAAATTAATAAAATATAAAATAGTAAAATGTATGACATACATATAAGAATGACCAAAACAAAGCCAAAGCGGACTCTTTAGAAAGGAGAATATAATAGAAACATTTTTAGTAAGATTTTTCAGGAAGATAAAGTAATAACAAAAGAGAAATCGTTAACGTGTGGAATAAAAAAAAGGAGAAACAGCTGGAGATATAATAAAGATTTAATATATATATATCATGAAAATGTTCAAGTCAATACATTTTAAAAATTCTATGCAATGAAGTTTATCATATACTAAAATTAATAACCAAAATTATTTCAAGAAAAGAAATTTAAAATCCCTTAAGCACTAAAAATTTTAATTATTAATCAAGATAAAATACCTATCTCTCAAAGACACAAGAACCAGACAACTTTATAGGTAAAAGGTAAAATATACTAAAGCTTCAAAGAACCGATAATGTCTTCTCTATACATGTGTGCCTGTGCTCAGTCATGGGCAACTTTTTGTGACTCCAAGGACTGTAGCCTGCCAGGCTCTTTTGTCCGTGGAATTTTCCAGACAAGAATACTGGATTGGGTTAGTTACCATTTCCTCTTCCAGGGGGTGTTCCAGAACTTTCTCCTGCATTGGCAGGCAGATTGTTTACCACTGAGCCACCTGGGAAACCCCATTAAAATATATATTGAAAAGTGAGAATGCAAAATTCAAACAAATGAACCTAGTCACAGGTTTTACACCTTCACAAAAATTAACTCAAACTAGACTGTAGACCTAAATGTAAAATGCAAAACCAATGAATTTCTAGAAGATGACACAGGAAAAAAAATTAAGTGACCTGCGATTTGGTGATAATTTTTTAGATACGACACCAGAAGCACTGGCCACAGAAGAAAACATTGACAAGTTAAAAAAAAAACTAAAATGTTTCGAGAGAACAGCATCGAAACACGTATATTATCTAGGATGAAACAGATCACCAGCCCAGGCTGGGTGCATGAGACAAGTGCTCGGGCCTGGTGCACTGGGAAGACCCAGAGGGATCGGGTGGAGAGGGAGGTGGGAGGGGGGACCGGGATGGGGAATACATGTAAATCCATGGCTGATTCATGTCAATGTATGACAAAAACCACTACAATATTGTAAAGTAATTAGCCTCCAACTAATAAAAATAAATGAAAAAAATAAAATAAAAGTTATCTGTATTATAAAAAACAAAACTAAAATTAAAATCTTCTGCTCCCTGAAGGACACTGCTAAGGGAATGAAAAAAAGGAGACACGGACTAGGAGAAAATATTTGCAAAACACTTAGCTGTTAAAGTATTGGTATTCAAAATACACAAAGTACTGTTAAAACACCACAATAACAAAACAAAGAACCCAATTAAAGAATGGTCAAGAATCTAAAAAGACTCCTCTTTAAGATATACAGTGGATCAGTCGGTAAAGAATCTGCCTGCAATGCGGAGGACCTGGGTTGGATACCTGGGTTGAGAAGATCTCTTGGAGGATGGCATAGCAATCCACTCCCGTCTTCTTGCCTGGAGAATCCAATGAACAGAGGAGCCTGGTGGGCTGTAGTCCATGGGTTCACAAAGAGCCGGACACGACTGAGCGACTAGGCACATAAAGATACACAGATGGCTTATAAGCATATGAAAAGATGTTTAAAGTTATATATCATTATAGAATTGCACGTTAAAACATTGAGATACCACAATACAACACATTTATAAGAATAGCTAAAATTAAAAAAACAAACTGACAAAAACAAATAAAAAAACACCAAACCTGAGAAATACTCAATGCTGGCAAGAATGTAAAACCATACGAATTCTCCTCCATTGCCAGCAGGAATATAAAATGGTCCAGCCACGTCGGAAGATAGTTTGGCTGTTTCTGGGCTTTCTTGATGGCTCAGACAGTAAAGAATCTGCCTGCAATGCGATAGACCTGGGTTCCATCCCTGGGTTGGGAAGATCCCCTGGAGAAGGGAATGGCAACCCACTTCAGTATTCTGGCCTGGAGAATTCCGTGGACTATTTAGTCCATGGGGTCACAAAGAGTTGGACACAACTGAGCAACTTCACTTGCTCCGTGAATTAAATTAAATGTAGTCATACTATATGATCCAACAGTCAGTCTGCTAGGCATTCATTTGGTTGAATTGAAAACTATGTTGACACAAAAACCTACACAACAATCTCCAAATAGTTTGATCCATAATTGCCCCAAACCGAAAGCCACCAAGTTATCCTTCACTAGATGACTAAATAAACACAGTGTTGTATTTACACAATAGAATGTTATTGAATGATTTTAAAAATTAACTATGAAGCCAGAGAAAAATAAATGAATCTTAAAGGCATATTGCTAAGTGATAGAGGCCAGTCTATAAAAGGTACTGTGAAATTCTTGCTGTATGATATTATGAAAAAGAGAAACTCTAGGGACAGTGTTAAAAAGAAAAAAAAAAAGCACTGATTTCCAGGGGGCTCAGGGTTATGGGCATGGATGGAATAGGTGAGGAACTGGGGGGAGAGGGTGTGGGCAGGAATGAGGGGTGGGGGTTTATTACAGTGAAACTATTCTGTATGACACTGTAATGGTGGATACATGATATTATTCATTTGTCAAATCCACAGAACATTATAGCACAAGGGTGAACCTTAATGCACATGATGGAATTTAGTTATCAGTAATATATTAATATTGGGCTCATTAAGCATAAAAATATACCTAATATATTAATGTAAAACATTAATAAATAGGTGAAACTGTATGCAGGGGAGGGTAATATGTGGGAACTCTCAGTACTATACTATCTAGTAAATTTTCTGTAAATCCAAAACTATTCTAACAAATAAGTCTGCTAAGTGAAAAGAAATCTGATGTGCCTTTGTATGAAAAGCATAGAACAGGACAAAGAAAGGTGGAGCGTGATAGTGGAAGGGCAAATGGAATATATCCAGCTCTTGAGAAACGATTTGATATCTAGATATCAAGACATACTGGAAAGCTATATCAAATCAAGTAGGCTGATGTTGGTCTAGGGGAATATTTGCTAGAGCAGTTTAATTGGTGAAA